AAAAAAAAAAAGAAAAAAAAACTACAATGAAAAAAACAAGTCAGCTATATATCGATTTGTTGTACTCCTCAAATCACATTCACAATTTGGCTACAAGGAAATGAAACTCATTGATTAAAATATTATTTTGTCAGTAGTCTTAATGTACAAGAGACTTTAAGACTTCACTTGAATATTATAAATTTTTTATTGAACATCGTACAATTTCTTGCGTATTATAACTTTTATTGAATATTGCATCTTATAATATAATATTCTCCAAATAAATATATCTCGCGGGTCACGTACTATATATATTCCGTACATTTTTCTTTATTCATGTATATAATTATAAGTCTGGATAAATAGCCTTAAAATTGTGCACCCCGTGCATCGCACGGGCTCTGTATTAGTAATAGCAAAGCGACAAATTCTCAGTAGTTTCATTTATTGTTTTAACTATTTCATGTGCATTTGTTAGTTTATTAAAGAAAATAATAGCAAAGCGACAAATTCTCATTAGGTAATAGATTACACAGATTACAATGTTATTATTAGACCATGTTGAATCATGTACTCTACTCTAATGTAGAGTTTAATCTACTCTAGAGTAAGAAATATCATAATTTAACTTTCGTTTTCAGTCATTCGCATTATATTTTACTCACTACAAGAATATGATGAAATTCTAATGGAAAATTCCAAAGGAAATATATTTCGTTGGAATGTTATCATTTTCGTTGAAATTTTCCAATAGATTTCAATAGAAATTCCAATAAAAATATTTCGTTAGAATGAGTCATCTATTGGAATTTTCATTGGATTTGACGATTATAACGGTACATTTTCCAACGGTTAAAATATGAGAAAATTATAATTCCAATGAAAATTGTATATTCTATCGAAAATTCTTACAATAAAAAAACTGTTGGAATGATCAAATTATATCTAAATTTCAATGGACATTCCAACGGAAGCTATACCATTATAACATCCGTTGGAATTTTCATTGGATTATATTACCGTAGAATTTTTCGTTGTCCAAAAGCATTGACGTAATGTTATTAGACAATCTTAGGTGTTCTATTATTATGTGAAAATGTTATAAGTGACAATCTCGCTATCCTTGATTCTTAACAAATTTATTTTCTTAACTGTATGAGACAAGTTTATTTTATTTTATTTTTTATTTTTTTAGCAATAGAAATGTTATAGGAAAACTTAGTGCTGTTAAATTAAATGAGCCTGGCTCGGCTCGGCTCGAATTCATGCCTTAACGAGCCGATCTCGGATATTTTTAACGACAAGGCTCGTTAAGGCTCGAAAATTGAATTTTTATATAAATTTTTATAGTTTGGTTTGTTAAAGCTCGAGCTCGATTTCAGAGGCTCCTTTGTTTACAGCCCTAGGCAAACTGGCAAACCCAACAATTTGACATTTAAACTTTTTCAACAACATAATTTAATACTTATTATCATACTTTGAAAAAAAAAAAAATAGCAAGTTAATGAAAACAATCTGAATAAAAATGTCCGACTTCTTAGCAATCAAAGTATTTTTATTACTCAATGGATGTTGACAGGAAAGGGGCTAAAAAAGGTCTGACCATCTTTGCAGACGCGTCCTGCACATGTCAAATATAACCATATAATAATAACCAATTTGTCAAGTTGTCTAAAGTCTAACTTACAATAAATAAGATTTTAAGGAAAAGAAACATAAACAAGAAAAAGCGTTTGCAGTGATTATATATATAAGGAAGGATGGGGCTTGTGGGATTAAGAATCAACTCAACCCATATATAGCTGAATTAATTGTTAGAGGAAATATATTAAGTGAGAAATGGATCAAAATATGGAATCAAAGGAGGTTCATTCCACATCTAAATCTAGTGATGATCAAACTCAATCTGTAAGTATTTGTGTGTCCACTCAAATTTCTCTTTTTCATTTTATTTTCCATAACATCTCTTATATATCCTATGTATTAATCAAACAATGATTCTAATGATTAGCTAATTTCACACGTCTTTATTGTACCAAATATATGCATAAGTCCAATTGTTGTTATATTTTGGATATTGTTTGATTAGATGGATATTGTTACTGATGGTTTTATGATTTTATCTTTTAACTTGTTGTAGTGTTCCCTTTTTTGGGTTTTCTTTTGTTATTATTATTTTGAGAAATTTTAATTTTCGTTTTTAGGGTCCAATAGAAGGTGATTGCTTGATCACACGGGAGGCCGCAATAGAGATAAGTCTATCAGAAATGACGGGGGGTGTAAGTCTATTTATTATTAGGCTTATCAGATTTAAGTAATAATGTTAAAGGTTAAAAGTTTGCAGTTTGATCCCAAACTATATAATAAAATTACTTAAGTGAACTGGCTTCTCGTGGAAGAAAAGGTGTTATCATCTGCTCGATCTTGTAATTTTTCAATCTTTTATAATTTCACCTTCTCAATAAATATTAATTTCGTTATTTTTGTCTTCAATTCATCTGAAAAACAATATATATACTTTTGTTTATGAATACATTAATCACCTGCAACATCTCAAATTTTGATTTAGTTAACTGGTGCAAGATTTATAAAATAATACTGAAATTAGGATTATATTGGCAATCATGGATTTACGTGACTTTCAATTTCAATTCAGTACTGAAATTAGGATTATATTGGCAAAAATATTCAATTTGTTACTGATGGTTTTATGATTTTATCTCTTAACTTGTTGTAGTATTCCCTTTTTTGGGTTTTCTTTTGTTATTAATATTTTGAGAAATTTTAATTTTTGTTTTTAGGGTCCAATAGAAGGTGATTGCTCGATCACCCGGGAGGCCGCAGTAACAGTAGAGATAAGTCCTCCATCAGCAGTGTGGGGGCGTGTAAGTCTTTTTAGCATTAGGCTTATCAGATTTAAGTAATTACCTTGTTATGTTTGTGGTTTTATGGCCAACTCATGTACGTTGACTTCTTTTATAAAAAATAAGTTATGTCAATAACGTTAAAGATTAAAAGTTTGCAGTTTGATCCCAAACTATATACTTAAGTGAACTGGTTTCTCGTGGAAGAAAAGGTGTTATCATCTGCTCGATCAGACTAAAATTTGTTCTAATTTGTTTTGTGATTTTTCAATCCTTTATAATTTCACCTTCTCAATAAATATTAATTTCGTTATTTTTGTCTTCAATTCATCTGAAAAATAATATATATACTTTTGTTTATGAATACATTAAGCACCTGCAACATCTCAAATTTTGGTTTAGTTACCTGGTGCAAGATTCATAAAATAGTACTGAAATTAGGATTATATTGGCAAATATATTCAATTTGTTACTGATGGTTTTATGATTTTATCTTTTAACTTGTTGTAGTATTCCCTTTTTTGGGTTTTCTTTTGTTATTAATATTTTGAGAAATTTTAATTTTCGTATTTAGGGTCCAATAGAATGCTCGATCACCCAGGAGGACGCAGTAGCAGTAGAGATAAGTCCTCCATCAGCAGTGTGGGGGCGTGTAAGTCTTTTTAGCATTAGGCTTATCAGATTTAAGTAATTACCTTGTTATGTTTGTGGTTTTATGGCCAACTCATGTACGTTGACTTCTTTTATAAAAAATAAGTTATGTCAATAACGTTAAAGATTAAAAGTTTGCAGTTTGATCCCAAACTATATACTTAAGTGAACTGGTTTCTCGTGGAAGAAAAGGTGTTATCATCTGCTCGATCAGACTAAAATTTGTTCTAATTTGTTTTGTGATTTTTCAATCCTTTATAATTTCACCTTCTCAATAAATTTTAATTTCGTTATTTTTATCTTCAATTCATCAAAAAAATAATATATATACTTTTGTTTATGAATACATTAAGCATCTGCAACATCTCAAATTTTGATTTAGTTACCTGGTGCAAGATTCATAAAATAGTACTGAAATTAGGATTATTTTGGCAATCATGGATTCACGTGACTTTCAATTTCAGTACTGAAATTGTTGTAGTATCATCCCAAGATCATAAACATAATTGAGAGAAAAATAAATTTCTATTACTCACAAGAATAAAAACAAGAGATTACAAACTCTAAACAAAAAACTCTCAAACTCTCCCACAACTCTTCTTGGTTGTATTTTAACACTCTCAAGGTTGATTGATCACACTCTTGGATGATTTGAATGAATGAAATAACAAGCCTATTTATAGACAATTGTATGTGAATGAAGAAGGTTGGTGGGAATCCTTCTCCATTGGTGTGCTTGAATTTCTTCATGTTTGTGCCATTGAAGGTTTGGTGGAGGTGCATGGAACTTTCAGAAATTAAGATTATATTGGCAAATATATTCAATTTGCCAGCCTTAGCCGAGCCCCCGCCACGTTGGAATTCTATCTCCCAGGTACAATCTAGATTATTTTTAAATCAAAGTAAAATTTTATAATTGATTTGTAACTATGCAGGGTGTTGCAAATGAAACAAAAAAACGTTCCATCCCCATATAAGCATGTCAACATTTGATCCTAAATATTCATCAACCTAAAAATTCAATTCCAATCATTTAAGTTGCGGTTGTGAATGATTTTCAATTACTAGTAAAGAATCTTAACAATTTTATATAATTCTAATATAACTTTTGCAAACTTCAATGCAATTTTGTTCACAAAGAAAGCGGTCTACAGTCTACACCCACCTCCGCGATTTAAAATAATTGACAATTCGTTATCTAATATTTATATATACAAATTGCAGGGCGAGATTTTGGTTGTCAACTTCATAACAAAAAATAAAGGTAATGGTACAACTTCCTTTATTTTTGAATACTCATAATTTTCTACTATATATTATTCATAATACTTATAGCTCAAGTGTTCGTATTAATCTAGCAAGCTTCATGCGTCATGTCCTCTTTTTTTTTTTTTTTTTTTTTTTTTTGGATCCAACTAATGATTTATTTACTTTTTTAATTCGATTAAACTCCTAATTTTATCAATTTTTTTGATACTGTAGATAATTTATTTTAGCTATAATGCTTTTAAGAGTGTACAATAAAGAATCTTTCTTCGTAATAAAACCACAAATCAGTAAGTACATATATTCCTCGAATAGAGAGAATCAAATTCCAAATTTACTATAGCATTTTATTTTTAGAATAAGGTCTTTGGTAGTTAAGTTGAAAATCAATGCGGAAAACTAATGATGATTCTATTATATATTTTTATTATTTTTTTATTTTTTACAATCACGTACATGATTTTTGCAGGAATAGTCATACATAACATGTTTGTATCAAATTAACTCCTTTGTACAAAGACCCGAACAAGGTGTTTCGCAATGTTCATATTTCGACTCTTAAATATAAGTTTGACATTATCTCACTCACCAGATATGTTTTAATTCTCGAGCAAAATAATACCTTCTTAAATACGTCTAATAACCATTATCTGTTTATCAAAAAAATGTAAATATATCACTCTAAAGATATTTTTTTTTATATACACTTATAATTAGTTGGTCTCTATAAAAAATAAGAGACGTTCAAAATCATAAGAAAATGAGTATTCGCTGGATTAGATTATCGGTTTTGATCATTTTTTTTTTTTTCGGTTCACTAACTTATAACTTATAGTTTGGCATTATTTTAAAAAGCTTTACCAAAGCACATAATTAATGAATGTACGTAATAATTAAAGACAATGGTTGCAGATGAAAGACATTTGGGCACAATACCTAAAATGGAAGCAATTTGCACGGTGTGTTGTAGCTTCGTTATGAAATATACAGTTGCGTTCAAGACAAAATGCAAATGTGAAATGAGCTTAGTACATGAAGAATGCGTCTCAGAAGGTGAAGAAAAGGGAAGTTGTGGTGTTTGTGATGATAAAATAGTGCAATACATGCCAGTAATTCTCTCACTAAAAGGAAAAACAGACCCCCTTGCAGTCATAGAAAGGTAAGTATACAAATTAGAACATTGTTCCACTTTTGATTAATAGCATTTTTTTTAACATTGTTCCACTTTTGATTAATAGCATTTTTTTTATTCTTATTTGAACTTTATTCTTGCAAATTAAATGCAAATTTTTATATTTTGCAGCGACCCGGAGGCCGCTGAGGAACAGTATGGCGAATATTTGAAGTTGTAAATGATGGTCTGCGTTCAAGAGCTTATTGAGGATTTATATATGTTCCGATTGAATAATTAAACACCATTAGCTTCATTAATGGAACATCTCAAATTTTGCTATTCAACACAACTTGCCTGTAATGTCGGTTACTTATTAAATTATTAAAAAACAAAAAGGTTAGGCAAACACATCCTTCTTCCCTTCTTCCATCTATGCAGTTCAAGAACCGATCACGGAGACTTGCTTCTCGTTGAAGCCTGTCGTTTTTTTATGGGGGGTTTTTGTGTACAACTAATAATAAGTATAATTATAATTTATCTATTCTATTAATATATAAAGAGACAATGACATTTACTTGAAATGGTAACTAAAAATCAATAAAAAAACATTTGATTTCCCGCCTAAAAATTTAGATTTACTAAATTGGGTAAATTTTTAGCCAAAATTTGAAAAATCCCATCTAAATTAATGTACATAATCATTTTGGTCAAATATTGCGGCTATTATCGTTATTAGTTGCATGATTTAAATTTAGAATACAAGATATTGACAAAACTTGCGGATATTACCTTTATTAGTTGCATGGTTTAAATTTGGTATATAATATATTAAAAAATTATTTAAAATTAAAATAAAAAACATAATTATTCATAACTTACGGGTCAATATTAAGTTGGACGTAAATGAAATAGTAAATTATGTATAGTTTGATAAATTACTCGATAACTTACGGGTCAATATTAACTTGGACGTAAACGAAATAGTCAATTATTTATAATTTAATAAATTACTCAACAGCTACTTAATTTTTTTTATTTGAATAGTTTATAAAAAATAAATTTATTTTAAGTGATGAAACAATATAAATTTTATATCTATACTTATATTAAAGGGAGTCCTATTTACCAAATTTAGTAGCTAGAAAAGTCAACAACATTTATTGCCATTACTATTTCCGTATTATACAGTTTTATTTAATATTTGTTTTTCTGTTACGATTTTTAAAATCAGATATGGTCAAATTCTCTCATCATTAATTACTTTTCATTAATTATAATTTATTTATTTATTATTTTCTTAGCAAAAACGGACCAACATTAATTGATTTCCTTAAAATGTGGAAGTTGTTACTTATTTTGTACAGAAAATCGGGCTTCATTATAGAAATTTGTTCAATTACACAATGAATTTTCTATGATATAATTATTTTTTATCGGAATTTTTTTTGTAACAGAAAAATATGGCATTTCAATAAGATTTTCAATTTTTTAAGACTGATCGTTATCATGCTATGAAATTGAACATTCCAATATACCTTAACAAAATATACACGTGGTGTATACATCAGTTAATAGAAATATAGAATACTCATATTTTTATATATACGTATGTAATTTTTCTATTACCAAATTTAATTGATAGTTGTTGTGTTATAGGTTTTTTCATAATTGTTACTTGGTTGTTGTGATATTTAGTTTGGTTGGTGTCGCAAAAATTCTAAACTATATATATAATAAGAATAATCATTACAATGCAAATTAAAAAAAAAAACTGATATTAGAAGAGATTGAGTTCATGGCTTTTCTTAAATCAAAGTTGTTTAATTAGTATACAAAATTAAATTCTAAAAAAATATATGTGTATATTTTGTACATTATTTATACACTATTTAATTTTAAATTTATTTACATATTTCAAATTGATTACTTATATAAATAATACCAACGTGCATTAAATATATTTCATTACATAAAATAAAAAGAACAAGAAGACGTGTAACTTGTATAACTTTATAAATAATAATGACATTATATAACAACAGAGTTTAATAATTAACTATTATATAGTGAATAGGAATAAGTAAAATTGTTATTTTCTCTTATATCGAGGAATAAATATATATTATAAAATTAAATTTATATTAGTATAAATGTGTTAGTGAGATAATATATTAATTATTGTACAAGTTAGCCCTAACATGCTCACGTTTAATGTTCTGACTAATAAAATAACGCTGATTAAAAGATGTGAAAAATATATTACAACCCTATTTTTTTAGACTTAACGGGGATTAAAAGAGGTGGAAAATAGATGATAACTCTTTTCAGACTTAAACGAGATGTAACGGTGATTAAAATAGGTGGAAAATGGATAATAACCCTTCTCAGACTTAAACGGATAGAGCCAGTGAAAATAATTCATTTAATATCTCTCTCCCGTGCATCGCACGGGGTACGTACTAGTTTATACTTATTATTCACATAGGGTATTAAATATATGATAAAATTTTATTAATATAACTGTTTTATGGAATCACATTATAGTCAAATTGAATTTCTGAATAAAAATTTTGAAATGACACTTATTTTGAAATAAATATAATGTAATTTATTATCAGTTATTTGCACAGCACGAGTTGTGTACTAATTTTAATTAGACATTTTTATATTATTTTGCACAACTTAAACTTTATATAACATTTTCTATAAATTAATATAAGTAAATTGTATTACATATTGATTCCATATTTTTAATTTATAAATATTATGTAATAAGAATTTTTAATTTATAAATATTAATAAATATTTCTTACTTGTGCACTATACGGGACTCATACTAGTTAATATATAAAGACGTAATTATATTTACTTGAAATAGTAACTAAAAATCAGCAAAAACAACATTTGGTTTCCCGCGTAAAATAATTATTAAATTGAGTAATCTTTTTGGCCAAAATTTGAATAATCCAGCCCATGTGATATCTTTATGTTTTTCGAAAATTTAAAATGTAAACATTGGGTCAGTTAGGAAACAAAATCGGGCCTAATTTTGTGTCTATCGGATATATTAATGTTATTTTTTTTTTAAAGTCGATTGTCGTGCCAATCAAAATTTTGAATTTTGTTAATTTAAACAATCAGTTTATTTCAAAAAAAATAAAATAAAAATCTTTCTAATAAAAAAATACAAATTTTGTTAACTTTAACAAAAGATTACCAATTATAAAAAATACGATTTTGCCAAAAATAAAATACAATTACACATATGAATTTTTTTTTTGTTCATTTTTGGTTCATAATCAAATAATTTTAAACTTATTTATCATTCAAGTCCATAAGGTAGCACAATTTAAGTACACTACATTTTGGAAAGTAAATTTTATATGCATATAAAATATTAGATTTTGATTTTTATTTTTCAATACAAATGCTAAAATAAGATTCCATAAGGTAGAACAATTTTTAAGTCCTTTTAAAGCTCTAACTAATAGCAATTTAACATTATTATAATTCTAAGACACTACCCTATATGTAGTAAAACTCATTTGCACGATTTTTATACCTAATTAACAATTGGACAATTGAAGTTTTTTTATAATCTCACCGACTAAAAATCGGATATGTAATAATCATAAAATAAGTATAATTTGAAGATATTGAAAATTGTATTCATAGTGATTTGAAAAAAATAATTTTTTTTTTAAAAAAAAGGTCCACTACAGTTAGGAAATTAAATTTCATTTGCAAAATAATAATAATAATAATAATAATAATAATAGTAAGATTACGATTCTTCTCATATTGATAATAATTTGACAAAACTAAAATTCTAAAAAAAAGTCCACTACAATTAGGAAAGTAAATTTCATTTGCAAGAAAATATTAGATAACGATTCTTATTTTTTTAATATAAATGCTAAAATCTAATTTCATAGCATAATTTAAATCCACTACAGTTAGGAAGTAAATTTCATTAGCATATAAAATATTAGATTTTATTTGCATAATATAAACATTAGACAAAATAATGACTCGTAAAGTTGATTGGTTTATAATTTTTTATCCCGTCCAATAAAGTAAATGAGGCCTACCTGTGTGGCTAGCATGAAATTTTCCAAGAGTGGGTGTAGCAAGTGTTGTATTTCCACAAGTTAAATTTAATATAGAAAAAGATTAGGTAATAAAATAAACAAAATAATAAAAAAAATTAAATCTTGTTCCAATCCCATCCTATTATACTTCCCGTTGTTTGCCACTAGCCATTTTATATGCCAAGAAAGTTTTCACCGTTTTTTATTTATCATTTTAACTATTTTATGTCCACTTGTTAGTTTATTAAAGTAAATAATAGCAAATAATAGCAAAGCGACAAATTCTCAGTAGTTTCATTTATTGTTTTAACTATTTTATGTGCATTTGTTAGTTTATTAAAGAAAATAATAGCAAAGCGACAAATTCTCATTAGGTAATAGATTACACAGCTTACAATGTTATTATTAGACCATGTTGAATCATGTACTCTAATTTAATCTACTCTAGAGTAAGAAATGTCATAATTTAACTTTTGTTTTCAGTCATTTATGTTATATTTTACTAATTACAAAAATATGATGAAATTTTAATGAAAAATTTCAAAGAAAATATATTTCAATAGAATTCCAATGTTATCATTTTCGTTGGAATTTTTCAATAGATTTCAATAGAAACTCCAATAAAAATATTCCGTTGGAATGAGTCATCCATTGGAATTTTCGTTGGATTTGACGATTATAACGGTACATTTTCCAACGGTTAAAATATGAGTAAAAATTATAATTCCAACGAAAATTGTATATTCCATCGGAAATTCTTAGGGTAAAATAACCGTTAGAATGATCAAATGATATCTAAATTTCAACGGAAAACTCATTTCAGCGGAATAATTTCGTTGGAATGTTCGTTGGAATCATTCCAACGGAAGCTATACCATTAGAACATTCGTTGGAATTTTCATTAGATTATATTACCGTAGAATTTTTCGTTGTCCAACGTAATGTTATTAGTCAATCTTAGGTGTTCTATTATTATGTGAAAATGTTATAACTGACAATCTCGCTATCCTTGATTCTTAACAAAATTATTTTCTTAACTGTACGAGACAAGTTTTTTAATTTTTTTATTTTTTATTTTTTTAGCAATAGAAATGTTACAGGCAAACCCAACAATTCGACATTTAAACTTTTTCAACAACATAATTTTATACTTAATATCATACTTTAAAAAACAATAATAGCAACTTAATGAAAACAATCTTAATAAAAATGTCCGATTTCTTAGCAATCAAAGTATTTTTATTACTAAATGGATGTTGACAGGAAAGGGGCTAAAAAAGGTCTGACCATCTTTGCAGACGCGTCCTGCACATGTCAAATATAACCATATAATAATAACCAATTTGTCAAGTTGTCTAAAGTCTAATTTACAATAAATAAGATTTTAAGGAAAAGAAACATAAACAAGAAAAAGCGTTTGCAGTGATTATATATATAAGGAAGGATGGGGCTTGTGGGATTAAGAATCAACTCAACACATATATAGCTGAATTAATTGTTAGAGGAAATATATTAAGTGAGAAATGGATCAAAATATGGAATCAAAGGAGGTTCATTCCACATCTAAATCTAGTGATGATCAAACTCAATCTGTAAGTGTTTGTGTGTCCACTCAAATTTCTCTTTTTCATTTTATTTTCCATAACATCTCTTATATATCCTATGTATTAATCAAACAATGATTAGCTAATTTCACACGTCTTTATTGTACCAAATATATGCATAAAGTCCAATTGTTGTTATATTTTGGATATTGTTTGATTAGATGGATATTGTTACTGATGGTTTTATGATTTTATCTTTTAACTTGTTGTAGTGTTCCTTTTTTTGGGTTTTCTTTTGTTATTATTATTTTGAGAAATTTTAATTTTCGTTTTTAGGGTCCAATAGAAGGTGATTGCTCGATCACCCGCGAGGTCGCAGTAGAGTTAAGTCCATCAGAAATGACGGGGGGTGTAAGTCTATTTATTAATAGGCTTATCAGATTTAAGTAATAACGTTAAAGATTAAAAGTTTGCAGTTTGATCCCAAACTATATAATAAAATTACTTAAGTGAACTGGCTTCTCGTGGAAGAAAAGGTGTTATCATCTGCTCGATCTTGTAATTTTTCAATCCTTTATAATTTCACCTTCTCAATAAATATTAATTTCGTTATTTTTGTCTTCAATTCATCTGAAAAACAATATATATACTTTTGTTTATGAATACATTAAGCACCTGCAACATCTCAAATTTTGATTTAGTTACCTGGTGCAAGATTTATAAAATAGTACTGAAATTAGGATTATATTGGCAATCATGGATTCACGTGACTTTCAATTTCAGTACTGAAATTAGGATTATATTGGCAAATATATTCAATTTGTTACTGATGGTTTTATGATTTTATCTTTTAACTTGTTGTAGTATTCCCTTTTTTGGGTTTTCTTTTGTTATTAATATTTTGAGAAATTTTAATTTTCGTTTTTAGGGTCCAATAGAAGGTGATTGCTCGATCACCCGGGAGGCAGTAACAGTAGAGATAAGTCCATCGGCAGTGACGGAGCGTGTAAGTCTTTTTAGCATTAGGCTTATCAGATTTAAGTAATTACCTAGTTATGTTTGTGGTTTTATGGCCAACTCATGTTCGTTGACTTCTTTCATAAAAAATAAGTTATGTCAATAACGTTAAAGATTAAAAGTTTGCAGTTTGATCCCAAACTATATAATAAAATTACTCAAGTGAACTGGTTTCTCGTGGAAGAAAAGGTGTTATCATCTGCTCGATCAGACTAAAATTTGTTCTAATTTGTTTTGTGATTTTTCAACCCTTTATAATTTCACATTCTCAATAAATTTTAATTTCGTTATTTTTGTCTTCAATTCATCTAAAAAATAATATATATACTTTTGTTTATGAATACATTAAGCACCTGCAACATCTCAAATTTTGATTTAGTTACCTGGTCCAAGATTCTTAAAATTTCAATACTGAAATTAGGATTATATTGGCAAATATATTCAATTTGCAGGCCTACGCCGAGCCCGCGCCACGTTGGAATTCTATCCCCCAGGTACAATCTAGATTTTTTTTTTTTAAATCACAAAGTAAAATTTTATAATTGATTTGTGTCAACATTTGATCCTAAATATTCATCAACCTAAAAATTCAATTCCAATCATTTAAGTTGCGGTTGTGGATGATTTTCAATTACTAGTAAAGAATCTTAACAATTTTATATAATTCTAATATAACTTTTGCAAACTTCAATGCAATTTTGTTCACAAAGAAAGCGGTCTACAGTCTACACCCACCTCCGCGATTTAAAATAATTGACAATTCGTTATCTAATATTTATATATACAAATTGCAGGGCGAGATTTTGGTTGTCAACTTCATAACAAAAAATAAGGGTAATGGTACAACTTCCTTAATTTTTAACTACTCGTAATTTGCTAGTATATATAATCATCAATTCATTAATTATTTTTGTTCATATTTTTATATATCTACATCAATATTAAATAAATTTTAAGTTTGTGAAAATTTGTATTTATTAATTAAAGACAATGGTTGCAGGTGAAAGACAGTTAGGCACGGTACCTAAAATGGAAGCAATTTGCTCGATTTGCTTTAGATTCTTTGAGAAATATGCAATTGCGTTCAAGACAAAATGCAACTGTGAAATGAACTTAGTACACGAAAAATGCGGTTCCAAGTTCTCTGAAGAAAAGGAAAATTGTAGTCTTTGTGACATTGAAATTGGGCAGTGCATGCCCGTAGTTCTTTCACCAGAAGGAGAAGAAGATCCACTGGCAATCCTTGAAACGTACCAACCCATTATTATGTCTTTTTTTTTTTTTTTTTTAATTTAACATTGCTCAACAGAAAAATAAGGTTGATGCTAAATTCTATATTATGCAGAAATCCCTTGGTGGGTGAGAAGCTCTTTGGCGCATATTTAAAACTCTAAACAACAATGACCAACGAACCAAGTATGAAGACCACATGATCAATTTCCCGCTTGAATAAACATCATTACCTTGTTTGGCACCTCTTAAATTTGACTATTGAACACTACTTTCCTGTAATGTCATTTTATTGTTACATCATTTTTATTTTATTTTATTCTATTTTTATTTTTTTTTGTTGTGGTACTTTTCTCTTAAAAAAAAAATCAACGCATCCTTCTTCGCTTCTCCGAGATTTGCAATTCATTATGAACCGTCACNATTAAAAAAAAAAAAACAATAAATAATTGCAAGTAAATGGATGTACACAAGACAAGCTATGTAGAAACACAAAATATATGTTGCCAAGGTTATTAGAGGGGTCGTACATGTCAACTTTGTGAAAAAATTGTGTATTCATTTATTCATTTATATCTCTACTATTATTATTTTGGAACTCGATTTGTGTGCAGGGCTTAACATAATAATCTTTCATAAGCTCATTTCGGGATCATCATCAGACTAACACACACGATGACCGTAAATGTTTGAACAACACACTATACACACAACATCACTACCCAACTAATCTAAATTATTGATCAAATGGAATGGACCTCACTTTTTAGTAAAATATATTACGGGTAAAGTACGCAGTAATTAACTAATGCTAAGTTCGTTTACTTGGTCAGTATAAAACGAACTTCTCCGCTCTGAGATTCGTTCAATACATCTGAAATATACTAGTGCAATTCATCAGTCAAGACAAATCGATTTTAATTACACTACAACTATTCGCGATGGGTTATTCAATTCCATCTAGGTTATGAACCAATTAGTTATGTTTTACAAGTAATCAATAATGTGACTTTTTGTCCATCCATGATAAACCATAATTATCTAAATTTAAAACATAATACAGAGAACTGCTTAATTAAACATGATTTTCATTGAATTGGAAATAGTGTAAATAACTCATGAAGCCATAAGTATATACACTAATATTTTCTTTATTTGAGAAGATATGACTATTGAATAGTGCTTTGGATTTCTCTAGCGACTTGTGCATCTTTGGAAGAATCTGAAACGATTTCCTTCCAACCTATTCTTTTTTCATTATTTATCCTTGATTTTCTTCATCGGATTTCGTCTCTTAACATTTTAGAACCATTTAAATGTTGATCATGAATTTCTCAATTCTTTAATTGTTTCATGACCTTTTCTGGTCAAATAATTTCTATTTCTAAATCATGGGCTTGTTTTTCTAAATTATCATGTGTCTCATTAGTTCTTGTAATAAGTTCTTCTAGATCACTTTTACTTCTAAATATAAACTCGTGAAGGAGCTTGCCTATAAAATTTTAAAGTCTATTTTGTTTCAAACTTCGTTTGTTCCCATAATTTAAAATTAGTCTCCTCCTTTAGTAAATAAGAATTATATAAAATTACAGTAATTTGTTAAATAGAGCCTTAATACCATTTTTTGCCCAATATTCAATTATACCATTTTTCAGCTACTTTAACTTTTTATTTTTTTTCTAAAGTAGGTATAACATTTTTATTTAATTAAATTGGTCATAGCTAAAGTGGATTTGTTAATAGCAAATTAGCAACAAAATGAACACTTCCAGATTCGAATGGATTAATTAATACACTATCCGTGTGGGTAGCATAAACTTTTCCAAGAGTGTATGTAGCGAAAGTATTGAATTTCGACAAGTTAAATTTAATACTGAAAAATATTAGGTAATAAAATAAACAAAAAAAAATGAAATCTTATCCAATGAGATACTTCCTATTGTTTTGCCACTAGCTATTTCATATTATATGATCATTTTAACTATGTTATGTCCACTTGTTAGTTTATTATTAAAGTAAATAAACGCAAATAATAGCAAAGCGACAAATTCGCAGTAGGTTTCATTCATTGTTTTAACTATTTTATGTGCATTTGTTAGTTTATTATTAAAGTAAATAAACGCAAATAATAGCAAAGCGACAAATTCGCAGTAGGTTTCATTTATTGTTTTAACTATTTTATGTGCATTTGTTAGTTTATTATTTAAAGAAAACAATAGCAAAGCGATACATTCTCATTAGGTAATCTCGTTTACTATTCACCGTCCCTCTATTACTATTCACCGTCTCCTCAATTACATTTTTGCCCTTCACACTCTCTCTAATCTATTTCTCTACTCTTTTCTTCTCGATTTTCTACGACTCTTTTGATCGTCAAAAAAATTTTGAAAAAATGCCAAAAAAATACCATGACATCGACAAGATATTGAAGATTATTTTAACTATTTTATGTGCATTTGTCAAGTTGTCTAAAGTCTAATTTACAATAAATAAGATTTTAAGGAAAAGAAACATAAACAAGAACAAGCGTTTGCAGTGATTATATATATAAGGAAGGATGGGGCTTGTGGGATTAAGAATCAACTCAACCCATATATAGCTGAATTAATTGTTAGAGGAAATATATTAAGTGAGAAATGGATCAAAATATGGAATCAGAGGAGGTTCATTCCACATCTAAATCTGTAAGTGTTTGTGTGTCCACTCAAATTTCTCCTTTTCATTTTATTTTCCATAACATCTCTTATATATCCTATGTATTAATCAAACAATGATTAGCTAATTTCACACGTCTTTATTGTACCAAATATATGCATAAGTCCAATTGTTAGTTATATTTTGGATATTGTTTGATTAGATGGATATTGTTACTGATGGTTTTATGATTTTATCTTTTAACTTGTTGTAGTGTTCCCTTTTTTGGGTTTTCTTTTTTTTTTTTATTATTATTTTGAGAAATTTTAAAAATTTTCGTTTTTAGGGTCCAATAGAAGGTGATTGCTCAATCACCCAGGAGGCCGCAGTAGAGTTGAGTCCATCAGCAGTGACGGTGCCTGTAAGTTTTAATTTTTAGCATTAGGCTTATCAGATTTATTAAGTAATTAATTGTGGTTTTGTGGCCAACTCATGTTGACTTCTTTTGTAAAAAATAAGTTATGTCAATAACGTTAAAGATTAAAAGTTTGATCCCAAACTATATAAAATTACTTAAATCAACTGGTTAATCGCGCGTGGAAGAAAGGTGTTATCATCTGCTCGATCAGACTAAAATTTGTTCTAATTTGTTTTGTGATTTTTCAATCCTTTAATTTCACCTTCTCAATAAATTTTAATTTCGTTATTTTTGTCTTCAATTCATATAAAAAATAATATACATACTTTTGTTTATGAATACATTAAGCACCTGCAACATCTCAAATTTTGAGTTAGTTACCTGGTCCAAGATTCTTAAATTTCAATACTGAAATTAGGATTATATTGGCAAATATATTCAATTTGCAGGCCTTCGCCGAGCCCGCGCCACGTTGGAATTCTATCCCCCAGGTACAATCTAGATTTTTTNACAATCTAGATTATTTTTAAATCAAAGTAAAATTTTATAATTGATTTGTAACTATGCAGGGTGTTGCAAATGAAACAAAAAAACGTTCCATCACTATATAAGCATGTCAACATTTGATCCTAAATATTCATCAACCTAAAAATTCAACTCCAATCATATTAAGTTGTGGGTTTTATATGATTTTCAATTACTAGTATAGAATCTTACAAATTTTATATAATTCTAATATAACTTTTGCAAACTTCAATGCAATTTTGTTCACAAAGAAAGCCTCCCCGATTTAAAATAATTGACAATTCGTTATCTAATATTTATATATACAAATTGCAGGGCGAGGTTTTGGTTGTCAACTTCATAACAAAAAATAAGGGTAATGGTACAACTTCCTTAACTTTTAAATAGTCGTAATTTGCTAGTATATATAATCATCAATTCATTAATTATTTTTGTTCATATTTTTATATATCTACATCAATATTAAATAAAATTTAAGTTTGTGAAAATTTGTATTTATTAATTAAAGACAATGGTTGCAGGTGAAAGACAGTTAGACACGGTACCTAAAATGGAAGCAATTTGCTCGATGTGCTATAGATTCTTTGAGAAATATGCAATTGCGTTCAAGACAAAATGCAACTGTGAAATGAACTTAGTACACGAAAAATGCGGTTCCAAGTTTTCTGAAGAAAAGGAAAATTGTAGTCTTTGTGACACTGAAATTGGGCAGTGCATGCCCGTAGTTCTTTCACCATAAGGAGAAGAAGATCCACTGGCAATCCTTGAAACGTACCAACCCATTATTATGTCTTTTTTTTTTTTTTTTTTTTTTTAATTTAACATTGCTCAACTGAAAAATAAGGTTGATGCTAAATTCTATATTTTGCAGAAATCCGTTGGTGGGTGAGAAGCTCTTTGGCGCATATTTAAAACTCTAAACAACAATGACCAACGAACCAAGTATGAAGACCACATGATCAATTTCCCGCTTGAATAAACATCATTACCTTGTTTGGCACTTCTTAAATTTGACTATTGAACACTACTTTCCTGTAATGTCATTTTATTGTTACTTCAAAATCTTTTGTTATGGTACTTTTCTCTTAAAAAAAATTAAGCCAACGCATCCTTCTTCCCTTCTCCGAAATGTGCACTTCATAAACAGTCACGGAACTTTATGGACTTTTGACAAAGTGTAGTTTCATTTTTCTCGTTGATAATTGTGCTCTAGAGACAAACATATAAAAAACAATTAAAAAATTATACGTAAATGGATGTACACAAGACAAGATATGTAGCGTCCTGTTTGAATATTAGATTTTTTTGAGTTTATTTTAATTAATGGTATTTTATTTTATTATTTATAAGCCTTGATTATATAACAATATATTATATTATTATGGGGATAATATAATTAGGCAAAATTTTATTTTTGGTCCTATAACTTGGCCACAGTCCAAAAAACTACCACTATATTGACCACTTTCAATTTAGGTCCTATAACTTGTCAATTTCATCATTTATGGTCCTATATTATCCCACCCTGGGATAAAAACATGACATGACAATTTTTTATCTGACATGGCGTGATTGTGACTTATGTGGCGTGATTAGAAAACTTTGACTTCAAAATTCAATGATCCAGTCAACTTTAGGACTTAGGTGCAATTAATTAAAATTATTAAAATTACAAAATAGTCCTTATAACTTATTAAATTTTCCAAGATGAGCCCCTATAATTATAACTTATTTTTACGCCGCCGCCACCCTCCCCCGTGCCGCCGTCAGTAGCCTCCCGCCGCCGCCTGCCTCTGGCCAAACTCATCGGATTTTAAAAATTTTTACGTCATCTTGTAGCTCTTCTTTGGGCAACAACATATCGAAATTTCACACAAAAATTCTGACAGTAAGGCTTCCAATTTTCGGTCAAAACTTGTAGATCTACAAAATTTTTTCGGCCTTCTTTTGTAAATTCCCGATGACCCGTTTTGACCTACGTGAATCCGAAGGTACCTCCAAACTCCTCTCGCCGAGACGCATCTAGTGACGTTCACTGTTGCCGGAACCGATGATATTTTTCCGGCAACGAATTTTCCGGCCATCTTCTCTGCGAGCCACCATATATTCATCTTCTCAACATTAAGCGCGCACAAGTATATTCATATAGTTGCATGATATATGGGAAAAGCTAGTCTTTGAAAAACATGCTTGATTAGTGAAGACGTGAGTTTTTCAATTTGCAAATTTTTTCGTGGAGAAGGTGGAGCAACAGTGGTTTGGGAACATGGTTTTGTTTTTCTTTTTAATTTCCACTTTGGTTTTGATTTTTTGTTTTATTTTTGTTTTTAATTTTTGGTTATTTCCACTTTGGCTNAAAAGATTTAATCCAAGTGTTATTTCCATTTGGCAACCAGGATGCCACATCAGGGCAAAAAATCCTAAATATATCTGACTAGGCGCCACGTCATGTTTTTATCCCGGGTCGGATAAAAATGGACCGGAAATGATGAAATCGACAAGTTATAGGACCTAAATTGAAAGTGGTCAATATAGGGGTGGTTTTTTAGATTGTGGCCAAGTTATAGGACCAAAAATGAAATTTTGCCATATAATTATATAGCTCGTTCTATTTTATTTTATCGATCGCCGTTTGAATTTTCGGTTTAATCGCGTAAGCCGAATTGTTGTCCGTTTTAATTCGTTTTCGTACCCTAGCCTATTCATGGTCTTAGCCACGGTTCATGCATGTGATTAAGAGTTTATTAAGTATTTTCTAAGCCTAAGTAAGTCTTGGAAGCATTTTAACAATAGTCAAAGCTCTTGTAGCTTCACTTTGCGCAACTTATTGCCTGGGGTAACAAACATCGAGCCACTCACATTTCTTGAGCCAATGGCTCATTTTATGGTCCAGACCTCTCAAGTCTTAAGTCATGCAAATATAGCCATGTGAGTTAAGAGACATTTGAGACAATGTATCCTTGTGATATATCAAGACAAGTCAATTACTCTTGGCATTTAGAGAACATGTGCAAGAATTAATGTAATACCATGTGAATGAGATACTTTGTCTTGTCTCACCTATGGTTGACCAACCAAGATGATTTCTCCATGTGTTATACTCGACCAGATCTCATTTGGTGCCGCTAATCTCACATGTTGTCGTGAAAAATGACCAAGACAACTAAAGTCAACTAATGACACATGTGCATGATGAGAGAAGTTCAACCAATCTTACTTAACTTTGATTCTTCTTGTTCCTCTCGTGCATTAGCCATTTTATAAGTTCCATTCCATCTGAGGTTTGCCTTAGACTTAGAAAACTTGAGAAAATTAAGAAAAATAGAGAGAAAAAAATCAAGACCAAGTATCAAAGTCATTTTCACGCGCGAGAGAGAGAGGGAAGGAGAGAAGAGCGAGCATACCTTTTCCATTTCTTTCATTCACGTTTTCTTGAAGGAGGTAAGGTGCCATCTATTTAGAATGTATTGTTAGATGATATTAAGTGTTTAATGATGTTTTTATGTACCTTAGATATTCAGTTTTCAAGTGATTATAAGCATGCTAGGAGATAAGTTATTCCCAGCTCACATGAATGTTGTTTATGTGCTGTTTACATTCTATTTTGAGTATGCTATGTAAAATCTGGGAAAGTATGTTTTATATGGCTATTTCTTATGTAATAGCTGAGTACATAGAAGCAAGAATTAAGTCATTTGGCATAGTATAGCTCAAGTTATAGATTTTTGAAGTTAAGCATGCAAGCTGAATTTTATGTACCTGTTTACATCAACAACTTTAAATATGAATATTTCGATATATATATACATGATAAAATTATGAAATTTTTATGACATGTCTACATATGTGTTGAGAGAATTTCTGCCAAATTTCATGATTTTAGGTTGAGAAATGAATGTGTTAAAATGTTTAGACCGTATGTATGTCTAGATGAATTTATATGCAAGAGTACTCAGTCCATGTTCGTGTTTTTAACATGAAACTTTTATGTTAAATTATCACATGAGCAATAAAGTATTTGACCAAGCTTCAGCTTAAAATATTGAGTGCACGATTTTATAAAATTGTTTGAAATCTCGCATGTTAATAGCATAATTTCGTGTTATATCGATAGTACATGATTTAAATGGGCAGATTATAGTATTGAATGCTTGATGATTAAACTCGTTGCTAATGCTATTATTTGCCAAAGTGATCATCATGAAAATTGTAGCCTTTGCTCATTGGTTGTCCATAGGTTTTTGATTCATGTCATTTGAAGTGATGTAGCACGAGTTAGAGTATAATATCTGAAGTGTTGTTTGTATCATGAATTATTTTCGGGCAGATTATATGAATCGCATGTTTTGTGTTTAAACTCATTGATAACATCATTATTTGTCAATAGGGTCTTCAGCACAGTTGTAGATAATTGTGTTAGCGCATTTTGGTTTTTGAATCTCCTTGAAAGCATGTTTGTGGTTTCATTTATCTTGCAAAGACTGAGGTCCTGTCAACCGTATGTTTCCAGATTTTTAACTGCCACTCTGTTTCAAGTGTTTGATGATTTATATCCTGGTACATGACCTTATTTGTTTTTGATGTCTTCATAAGAATTGTAGATGCATGTCTTAGGGTTCAAATGCAACTGGAATCATGATTATATGATATATGTGCTTCAAGTTGAGTTGATTTTAAAATCGCTGCGCGGGTTAAATTTTGAAAACTCATGTTGAATGTTCGGAAATAGAGTTTACTCTTGTCATGCGTGCTTATATGAACTATATGAGTCGAGTCTAATCAATTGAATGTTGATATGAGTATATCCATGTGTCGGATAGTCATTGATAGATCCCTTTATATTAATGTAGGTGTTTGACGAGTCGAGCTCGTCTTCCTACCAATATTTATGTGCTTTATCTACCGCTTCGGTAACTAGGTGGGTTCGTTATTCTAAAATTACCTATGTCATACGTGTTTAAGTGTTTGGTTGGAATGATCAATGTATGCATGTAAACCATGTGGCCTATCGATGTGAGTTGTTACGGCCGTCGGTACGATTTTTCCCGTCGAGTTACGGTACGGTGCCCTTATGTGGCAATCTCCTTAAGTGTCCTTGCGTGGCACGTACTCCCGTCGTTAGGGTTTATGCATCCCCTTTTCGCGGCTAATGATAGATGTGCACACATGAGTGAGTTATTGTTATGTTATTGATAGGAGATGAGACATGATGATGATTGATTTACATTCATACTGCGACCATACTATCTTTACATTTTATTATTTATGTGCATAGTGGTGAGCACTACGGTTTCCATTTGTGCTCACTCCCACCTGTCTCTTCACGGATGCAGGTTAAGCAGGTGGCGGATGACGAGGCAAGACGAGTGGGTGGTCATATAGTTATTTATTTTGCTTCCGCATTTTATGAACTTGATTTATGAAACATGTTGAACCGTTTTCGAACGTATGTTTTGGATTGTTGGTTTTGGATATTCATGATGCGTGTTTTATTGAATATCATGTTTACTTTGATTATTCATGCTGGTATAATTAAGCTGAATATCTTGTGAAATGTTGTGAAATGGGTTAATGAAAACCTTGTGAAAACCGGGTTTATGAATCCCCGTGAGTCCAGATAAGACTTGGACTATGTAAATGTTGTGAATAATGCCCATGATTTCGAAAATGAGTTTCGAAAGAGTTTTACTGATTTTTGGAAAGTCCGGAATTTCTTTAAAATCAAAGTAGGGCGTTACAAGATACGTAGAAACACAAATTATATATTGCCTGTTATTAGACGGGTCGTACATGTCAACTTTGTGAAAAAGCGAATATTCATTTATTTCTTTTTATTTATACTATTGGAAAACTAATAGTGATTTACTGATTTTATATAAAAAAATTGCACGGACAAGCATCCCTATATATATTATATATATATAACATATATTCTTTAGTATATAACATATTCTTATAGGTAAAATCGTAATTATAATTAGATATTTTAATAGAAAAAGGAGTTCAATCCACCAAAATAATTAAAACGCAAAAAGAACTCCAATTATGTATTACGTAATTGAAAAACATTATATATGTGATATATCATACTTCGAAGGCAAATTACTACTATTATTTTTAGATATATTAACATAAAAGGAGTTTGATCTACAAAAATTAATTAAAACACAAAAAGAACACTAATTATGCATTATAATTTTGAATTGCACCTGACCATCAAATTTTATTTTTATTAGTATATTATTTAAATTTTTAATTGTATTATCACTGCATATGATATATTCAATGGGGATG